GGCATGGTGGTAACCTTTTGAAAGCCAAGGAATAAATACACTTAATGTTCCCACACCGAAGTGGGAGGGACTGGGATGCAAACTGGGTGAGGTGGGGTCATCCAGTTGGGCAAGACCAGGAGTCCCCATCCCACCCCGGAATAGGCTTTAAGGGATTCTTCTACTCCCACCACTCCAGTAACTGGGTTAAGCCTATTTTATAACTTACACTATAATTTTTGCTGATTGCTTGTCTCAAAACAGCCATCAGCTTTTGGGATTTGCAATCAAACAGGACTCTGGAGGCTGCAAAAAGGCAGTTGCATGAGCCCAGGGCCTGCAGGTTGCCTACACTTGCCCCACAGAAAACCAGGATCCTAAAGGTGACAGCATATTGAACCTTAGCGATATGGAGATGAAGCTGCACATGCCACACATCTGAAAGCTGTTGCTTTCTCCTGGTTTGTTTAGTCACCATATTTCACATTTAGAAACTTCATTTTACTTAACTTTCAGCATTTAGAGTTAAACTGAAACTGGAGGACTGGAATTATAATGAAATTGTTTCAGTAAGATTTGTGTAGAAGGAAAGTGGTGAATGACATCCAGAGAACCTCTGTCAAAAGCTCCTGAATACTCTGGAATATAAGCTAAATGCATTTTACAGATTAGACTGGCATAGGCAACAATTATTTCATGTGTAACATTCTGCACATGGAAGCTGAATCCAAACAAAGGTTATATAAGCACAGGATCATGTCTGAACAACGATATCCCAACTAATTAGTTAAAAAAGATCTGCTGGAAGAGTTCTAGTTCAACTTGCTTCTGGAAGTTCAGCAGAGTTGGGGCAAGTCTTACTTCCTGGCTAGAGCTAGTCCACAACATGGAACCTGGGTATGGAAGGACCATGTTAAAATAAGGTAGTCATTTGTTTGTTGGGGGGGGTATATCCATAACCTCATCCATATATCTGCAGAGATATGACTCCATTCCTAATTGTCACTACTATATGCGGCAAGTAAAAGTATGATATATATGAGTGTACACATTATATTAAGTCATAATGTAATGTGTTTGGTTGTAGTTTAGTGGGTTCTGTGCACCAGGCCATTGTGCCTTCTAAACTATAGGTTGTTGTTTAATGTAATGTCAATAAGGTATGGTTTAGAGGGATATGTGCACCCAGTCCTATTAGGAAGAGTAGAATCAGCTGGGCTCAAACAATACGGTATGAACTAGTCCTGTCAAAAGGTTTTGTTATATAATCCATAATTCCATGTCATGCTGCGTCTCTTCTGCTATTTACATGCATCCTGACTGGCAATTTTGCCTTGGCTTATCTCACAGTCCACTAATTTCAAATTAATGTTCAAATGCCCAAGAAATACAACCAGTATCTGCTTTTTGCACCATCAGCACAAAATATACACTGTAATTGGAAAACCAGAAGATCATTTTATATTCTTCTTTGGCCAAAAGCCTCATTGTAGACGACAGTTGGGAGTGGAAACCTAAAGCTGATTCATACATTACCCCCATTGTGTGAGGTTGCTGCTTCAACATGGATAGATCCCAACTTCAACATCTCAATCTAATAACTATGAGAGGAATGGAAAATTAGCCATCTGCTGTTTTTTAACCCCAAGGAGAACCACAAGTTGTGCTTAGTTAATACCACAAGATTATCAGATTTAGACATTACTGACATACAGTGGGAACTATCCATGAGGACATAACAGCCAATACGGGGGAAAATACTTCTGTTTTATTTATTTTTTTCACAGATTACTTCCCTAAAGACTACACTTGTATTATACTTTTACATGCTGGGTATATTCCAGATCTGGCTGACTCCGTTTTAGAAAAAAACACAAAAAATCTGGCATTCTGCAAGCTGTTCATTCTGTCTAGAATGTGTTTACATGAAAATGCATCATTTTGAAAGCAAAGCCATTGTATATAATCCATTTCAAATCTCTTCATATTTTCTTTATACACTAAAACTTAGGTATGAAACATGAAGAGGCAAGAGTACAACAAATCCCAACACCCATTTATCATGGCTACAATCCAACAACTAAGTGTGGAATGATTAAGTCTCGATGTTAGTAAAGCCTTGTAGTGATTGTTATTTCAAATTCTTATGGGTAGCAAGGAAAACAAGTTAGAAAGTCATTTATTCATCAACTTAAGAAGGATTGTGCAGTTGAATAAGGACATTTTGGATTTCTCTAATAACAGAAATGTTAATAATTTCTAGTAATATAAGATGAGGATCATATGTATGGCACACCAGTCATAGAAACAAAAAACAAATCATGAACATTATTTTCCACCAGACAGCCTTTAATTATCACCAGTGCTTCCATTAGTTGGAGTCAGGGTTGTGAAGAAGTGAGAGAAAATACTTTATTCAGAGGGACATAAATTATAACTCAGAAAACTGAATGAGGTTACAGGGAAGAAAGACCCAGGCATCACCTCCACTAGGTAATGATCACCTACTGCAATTGAATATCTTCTAATATCCATAACTAGAAATTATGGAAAAGAAAAGAAAGAAATCAATCAGAACTCTGCTCTAAGATGAGTTGCGTTAGCATAGGTCCAGGGCAGAGACAGGGAACTGGTGGTCCTCCAAATTATGTTGAACTAACCCCTCCCAAGAGGCCCAACTAATGTGACCAATGCGGAGAAACTCTGGGCCACAAGTTCTGAACAGCTATAAGTTCCCTGCACTAGAATAGGACACCCCAACAGTCAGTGTGCACCCAGGTATACTGTAGTGATGCTTTATCCACCTTGACTTCAATGCTTAGCATAACAATTATGATGCAATCTATTCTCATTCTTCTTTTTTAGCCATTATAAGCAAAGAAGGAATTCTTGACTGAGGTTTACAATGTGATTATTTGAAGCTCAGTGTATAATCATCAGCTTCCTTACAAGAACTTCTTCGCACAATTCACAATTTAATATTATCATTCATTCATTCATTCATTCATTCATTCATTCATTCATTCATTCATATAACTATTTAAATGTTATTTTCAGCATAATCAGAACAATACACCATGTCTAGATAATATCTTCCTATGTATGCAAATGTGAATATCCCAGATGGTTGCTATTTTATTTCCTATATGGGTTATAGCTTGCTATATTCTGAATAGCCTTTGTTCAAGGAAGGGAGGGAGGGAGGGAGGAAGGAAGGAAGGAAGGAAAAAGTAAACAACCAATCAACCAATCAACCCACCCCATGGCCATCAGTGAAATGTGAAAAAAAAAGAAAAAGAAAAAAAAGTCAGATTGATTCTAGAATACTTATTCTAGAATACTTATTCTAGAAAATTTTTCCTATTTTAAAATTGTGTGGGGAAACATAAGCCATTCCAGTATTCCTTATCATTTACATGTTTTTAAAAAACCTCTAGTTAATGTTATGGGATTTTGTTTTCTTTCTTTCTTTCTTTCTTTCTTTCTTTCTTTCTTTCTTTCTTTCTTTCTTTCTTTCTTTCTCTCTCTCTCTCTCTCTCTCTTGCGCGCTCTCTCTCTCTGACTTTCAGTTGTCTTCTTGAATCTTACAGAGCCTAACTGAAACAATGACAACAGAAAATATAACAGTACAGCAAAAGTAGTGTTTCTGAATATGCATTTGACTTCTTTGTTATATCTATCCAAAATGTGTCTTACAACTAGAAACAAGCACTGCATCTGTCTGAATGCACCAAATGCATAGCCATGAATGCTTTATATCCATTAAATCTGCTGGATGTAAGCAATTGAATCCAGTGGGATGTGGAAAGCAAACAAAATCTAGAAGATTCCTACAAGCAAGTATAGTTTAAATCAACTATACACAATCAATTATATAAAGCAACTATAAAACATGATTGCCTTTTCTCCTTACTCAGTGAATGAATTGTGAAGAATGAATGAATGAATATGTTCATTCCTATAGTCCTTGCAGTTTATTTTTAAAAATGTACAGAATGTCCATTTTCTTCCTATCAATGTTTGTAAGAAAAGCTTTTCTATCAAAGAAACTGATGAAGAAACATCCTATTTCAGATATACATATCAACTATGTGAGTATATTTGATTGTGGTAAGCTATAACGCAAAGCTTGTTATTAATTAGTTGCATCAATCAAGCTATGCATTCAAGGCACAGGTCACACAATTCTGGCAATTTAACATAGTGCACACCACCCCACACACCGCAGGCTCCTGAAATATCCCTTATTAAAATATCCTGAATGAAAGCGAATTACCAAGTGATCATTTCCTGCAAAACAGTAAGTGTGAGTGTGCACAGCTGGACAGTAAGCATGTAAAGATTACAGCCTAAGGTTATTTACTATCAGGAGAGCAATGGGCTTGAAAGAATTCTCTGATGAGTGATGAAATGATGTCTGAGATGTATGGATTCCTCTCCTTTCCTGTTTATGTCTCAGAAGAAAACACTCACACCCACACCTGGAAAAATCTTTCCCCAAAGCTGAGCCAACTATTCTGGTTCACAAAAGCGCTTCCTTAAATGGTATAAATGACTTCACATGCATTCGAAAAAGAAACGTCTGCCGGCAAGACCCCGAAGCAGGGCTTCTTACAAAGCCCACCCCAGATGGTTAAATGCAACCTTGTTCTACATGACAAATGAGGTCCAGACTTTCCTGAACTCTGCACTCAAGATTTTATCCAAAAAGCAAAAAGAAAAGAACAGTAACAAGTTTCCAGCGCTGGTTAGACAAAATGAGTCTAGAAACGTAAAGAGAGAAAGTTTAGAAAAAGGCACAGAGTGTGGTTAAGCCCCCTAAAAAATTCCTTTCTTTAGGTTAGCCCTCTTGCTTCAAAAGTAAGCAGGACCCCTAACCTGGATCAAAGCAAAAGGAAAAAAGTAATTTGATAAATGCCTGATATCTGGCATAATTGAACATATATTATATATTATATAATATATATATATATATATTATATCTGTCAAACCATGACAATTCTTAAGTGGGAATTACTCACCCTCTTGTTGTGCCAAAATGACGGAGAATTGTGACACAGTAAAGACGAACAAAACGGCTCTCTGCACACAGCTCATCATGTTTAAATAATTTTAAACATGAGACTCTATGTGTAAAAGAGAATGAGAGGAAAAAAAAGGGGGAGAAAAAAAAATCAAAAGATCACCATCAATTGCTTCCTGCCCTGTCAACCACTGGGCCTGCAGAGAACTCAGCCACAGGCATTCCTGTGTCTTGCCCTTAAATAGGGAAAGCTTTGGCTTCCTCTACTTGCCAGCCCCTTTCTGAAATCTGAGAGGAGGTCCCATCCCCTTCACATGAAATCAAATGATTAATATTTCTTTTGGCCTTGCTGAAGGAGCAGCCAAACTGAAGCAGATACGTAACACATCTGGAGCGCCTGAGTCTGCAAAGCTTGTAGCCTGTGCATGTTCAGATGTGTGATGAAGGCACTGAAGAGCTGGACTGGAGGTGCAAGTGATGGAGTTTTTGCTGCCGATAGATGGGAAGGTGAATGTGAAACGTGGGATTTAATGTTTGTCTTTGTAGTAGGATCTGATATTTATGTGCACACTATTTCTGTTTGTTTTCTAAATACAGTAAGCAGGATCACTAGGAGAACTATGAGGGATGGGAAACTGGTGGTCCTTGAAGATGTTGCTGAACTACAGCTTCCTGTAGGCTTCCCAATAGGCCATTTGGCTGGGGCTGCTGGGAACTGTAGTTCAGCAACATCAAAAGTATCAAAGATTCCTTTGTGTTCTCTCTCTAACACACTCACTGTAAGAGGGATACCAGTAATGATGTGAAACCACGCAAAAGATGGTGAAGGGGACGTTCTAGAATAGATACAGCACTGACAAGCAAAGTGAGCTTTCTTGGCTAGCTTAGAAAGTGTACTGATTGGTGCCAGAAGCCAGCCAGCCTTCAGTGCCATCTCACTCAAACAGGAAGTACAGAGAGCAAGCTGATGAATGGCTGAAGGCAGCAACCTTACCTTGCTGAACTATGGTTCTATTCATATCTTATGACAGCTGAGTAGGTGAGGCAATGGAGCCTCTTTCCTGTTCCAGAGATTTGTGACCTGGAGCTTCCAAGCCCTGGTGAAATTGAATAGGCTACTTCTCTTCAGGTGACAAGGTGGAGGAATAACTAGTCAAACAAAGAATCTAATGAAAGATTCTTACCTTCCTACAAGGGGAAATTAGCCCAGGAATGAGCTCCTCATTATCACCCTAGGGGTGTTATTTTTATGGTTTTATCTGAGAAGATGATGATGGATGATGATGATGATGATGATGATGATGATGATGATGATGATAGCAGTAACACTCCTGCCCTGGAATCTGCAGGATCAGAGTTTGCCCCAGAGTCCTATTACCTCATCCTACTGCATATGTCCACCAGGCTCAGGGCAACTATGTAGAAGGGAGAAACACTTCCCTCAGAGAGCTGAGGACACCAGTGCAAGGTCAATCCAAGTCTTCAGGCTTGACTGCATGATGAATTTTTGTAGGGTTTCCAATGCTTTTGAACAGTGCTGTAGCCATTTCAATAGTATGGGCACCCATTCTCCCCTGAATGCTCCTAACCCAACCCTAACCTTAACCCTAATACTAAGATTTAATATCATTCCTATATGGCAGGAGCTGACTACTTTTGTAGCTGAAGGGAATGCTAAAAAAATTAAAGACCTTTGAGGGCCACAGGGATACGGTGGTGATTCAGTGATGTCACTGGAGGAGGCAGGGCCAATTTGGGGAACTTTTTTTTTCCTTCTCTCCCCCCCCCCCCCCCCCCCCCCGCCTCTTTTGGAGGGTTTGCTGATTGGTTTGTTTTAAATATTGATCCGAGCCGAGAGTGCAGTTAGTTTGCTTTTTAAAAAAAATGCTGAAAAACCATATCACTGAAGTTGGGTGGGGTGGGGAGGAGGGAATACAAGGTCTGCCAAGGAAACACTGGGAGCTCATAGACTCTGTGGCCGTAGATGCCCACCTTGGCTATTGAGCAATGAGTTCCAGAGCCACCTTGCATTCCAGATAAGATGAACATTCTTATAATTGGCTCACTCCTGGGAAAATCACGAATTGTCCTCCCCTTTTAGATGGGAGTTGGAGGGTGGGCGGTTTAGCCCAAATTTATTTGGAAATACAGGATTGCTCATCCTTAATAGAATTCCATCCATTCAGAGCAAAACATTTTCTCTCTTCCCATTTCTTTTTATATGATTGATTGGTGGGTTGCAACGAGCATTGCTTACAACAAAAATGTATCAGCAAAAATCATCAATAATCGCAACATGCTGTTACTGTCAGTCTAGAAGCCTTTTAGATTTAACACTTTATGCTTGCAAATGTAATATGAGCTGAGCACATTTGGAGCTGACATGGACCCAATCGTGGTTCATGAATCCCTGAGGTCTCATAATTAGGCAAAATGGCATTTCATGTAAAATATGTACTCTAGTCTTGTTAAGGTCAACTGGACTTCTATAGGTGAAGGGAATACATCCAGTTCCTAAAACGTTTTCCTATATCGGAAACAAGGTTATTTTCATTCATTCTGGACCAAACTCTCTAGCCCAGTTTCTATAAGCTGGATGAAAGAGGTTTGTTTCTTGACCTCATTCTCAAGATGCTGGTGAACTTCATTAGAATTTCTTTGGTGGTATATATATATATTTAGTTTATCTTATTGTTGTAAAGTGGCCAAGAATGTTTCCCCATTGTTCTGCAGCCACCCGGAATGCCTTCACTTCTTGATCTGAAAAAGCCCAATGAGAAGACTTCCCTTCCAATATCATCCTTAGGATGTTTCTACGATAGTCTAGCAGCTCATATATAGTTGGATTCAAGGATAATCAGGCACAAACTAGATTATTATTGACTAAGTTTATCTCCTGTCTGAATGGGATAACTCTGCCTATGACTATTGTATCCAACCCAGAGTAGAACCATAAGGATTTAATAGGTATTTTTTTAGCTTGTTTCTATAATACGTTTCAGGTTCATGTCATACATGCAAATCTGTTCGTTGCACTTAAATTAATAAAGTGTCCATGAAACCTAAACAGCAATCAAAAACAATACTTTTCCATGTGTATGTAACCTTTCCAGGCAGGTCTTGCAAATGAACACTTCGGAAAAAATGCCAGCAGATAACTGGCAACACATCTGAATTTTTCAGTCAACATATGAATCTGTACTTGATAATTTTCATATCAGATACATTTTTTGGCCTGATCTTGCTATTCTTCACTTGGTCAAAGAACAAGAGCCAGAGTTTCATGGACCAAGGGGAGAGCGTGGACTGGATGGGGAAATGGGAAGTGTTCCTAGGACTCTTGTCCCGTGTAATAGCTTAGCATAGTGCCTGTGTGTGTCCTCTTGAAGCCTTGAGGGAAATCAGCTCAGCTTTGTCTGATGGGAATCCTTTGCTTTGCACCCACAGGAAGAAGGATGGTGTCCCTCACTCCTAATCTCCCTGGACCAAGACTTGGCGTTTCAAAAAACTGGCATTTGAGAAGCAGCAAAAAAGGATTGAAGTGAAGATAATATGGAATGCGGTTATTCATCTGATTCATGCTTAGGACTTTAGTGTCCAACCCAGCTGTAACTACTCCTAAAACATGGCCAAAATTATGACTATAAACGGATTAACCAGAGAAGACCAGCAATCACTGATCTGCAGAAAAAAGTTGCAGTTGGAAGTGCATTTGGTAAGAATACATATTGTTGACCCCCCGGGAGACAGAGAAATAGGCAGGGTGGAGTTCTGCTTGTTTGCAGCCCCAGTATTAGCCAGTGATGAATCAGAGAAATTGGCACATTCGGCTAGACTGCTATTCTAAAGAATGCACATCTTTTCAAATTAACGTGTGGCCTCATATTGTACTAACTTTGTTCTCCATTTAGAAATTACACATCAGCAAGGTAATTTTATTCTGCAAAATAGACAATTCAATTCTATAGCAACTAAGAAAGAGAGAATGGATATTAAAACAGATTTTTTGTTGTTGTGTATGGCTGTAGGAATGGATCCAAAATTCAGTGTGGCCAACATGAATTGTCCCTGTATTGAGTTCTGATCCTGTCAATGGAAAGAAGCAAGATGTTGATTTCCATTTCCTGAAAACATGCAACCATTCAGCCTATTGTTTTATACTACTTCATCAGAAGCTCCTTTGCTGTTGACCAGATTGGGAAGAAGGGGAGTTGCAGAGAGAGAAGCATTAGTCAAAAATTACTTTCTACTCATTTCCACCAGTAAGAATAATCCTCTGAACCAAATGTTTAGAATCCAAGTCAGTGTATGTAAAACCTTTACAGCTGGGCACAATCAAGGAAGCAAGAATCATAGAGACCACAACAAAGAGCTTTAATGCAACAATTAGGGGTAAAGTACAGAATCTTGAAAATTACAATTGGAACTTTCTCCCCTCTTTAATTACCAAGTTCATTAAGGTGAAGTCTCTTTCAACTGTTTGAATGTCTTCCTGTTTCTTCTTTTGGCAACTTGGACTGACTTGCCATTTATAAGCTGTGACAATCTCTTACCCCATCTGCTGCTAGTTTCTGTCTAGAGTTCCCTCTGCTTCTTTCTCAGCCTCCTAATAATCTTTCACAAACAGCTTGGAATTAACATAAGCACATAAGACTACTTTGGAAAGGAACCATTAAACCTAAAAGTTATGTTGTATTAGGTATAGTGGAAATATCTCTTGTAGAAGTATCACTTTTCTGTTCAAGAAACTTAGGAAGGAAAATCCTAGATTAGAACATAAAGATACTGTGGGACAGGCGCATCAGTAGACACATGGGCATCAGTGCAAAACCTTTTGGTACAATTCTGGTGAAGGGAAAACCCTAGCCTGCCTGCAAATAAGCCATATCACCAGGTATTAAGAATTTTCAGAGTGAGTGCTTAATAGGTGCGAAGAGGAGAGTTTTGTGGGGTGATGAAATGAAGAGAGAAGGAAGGAAGGAAGGAAGGAAGGAAGGAAGGAAGGAAGGAAGGAAGGAAAGAAGGAA